CAGTTACTGCAGAATTGACAACTAAGCCATTAAAGGAGAAATGCTGCAGAACGTGTCATTCAAGAAGTTTTCTCACGCTCATCTTCTGACAGGGGTGGACCCAGTTTGACACAGCATAGAATTGATACAGGAGATCATCCATCAATCAAGCAACATCCAAGACATGTACTGATTGCTAAACAGGAAAAGGTAGGAAACCTTCTAAAGGACATGTAAGAAAGTCCTTGGGCTGCTCCTCAAAGAAATTACTATGTGACCAGAAAAAGAGTTGCCCACCATAGTTAAAGTTGTAGGTCATATATCGTTGATCTGGCTCTTAAATTTCAAGAATCCCAATGGCCAAATAGCCAGACAGATATGATACAGGAAATTGCAGGAATATGACATCACTATTTGTCATCAAAAGGACTGTCACACGGAAATGATTCTATTCCTAGAAAGCTGCCGATATTGTTCTAGGGTTGAAGTGAAATATGAACTGGCTGATTCGGTCACACGTCAAGGTACAATTTCAACATAATCTGACCCAGACCCATGGAGTGACAAAGAAGTCAAGAAGGACCAGTTGGAAGACAGTGACATCAAACCCATAATTGATTCAATAGAGTCTTCAAACAGTAAACCTACCTGGCACGGCATTTCGATCTGCAGTCCTATGACAAAACATGCTGTGCTCTCTAGGACTTACTCCATGTTCAAAATGGCGTTATGTGCCTGAAGTTCGAATCAGATGATGGAAAAGCATTCCAATGGCACCTGATATTTAAAGATCCCAGAGGTCCTTAAAGAACTACATAGCAGTCTGACAGGAGGCCATTTCAGAGTAATGAAGACTTTGCAAAGAATTGGAGAGCACTTAATTGGAGTAAAGCAAGGTTTGACATCTAAAATTGTGCGACAGCCGGAAGGGAAGAAACACAGCAGAGGAAAGCTGTAATGTTACAATATAGGAGAACGCATTATCTCCAATATCCTGGAACCTCTGCCATGAATAATGAATGCCATGGCAGCAAATACTTCCTCATTGTCATTGATTACTTTAATTCTGATTAAACCTTTGAGGTTCGGTGCATAAAAAAATTTTTTTTGGAAAAAATAGCTTTACACATAGATAATTAGCTCGTAATACAATGTTATTTCATGCAAAAAAAAAAAAGGTTAACCTTTAAGGTAATTCATGATATGGTGGGATACCACTTGTCCCACCGTGCATCTAGAGCAGTAAAATGGCATCTTTGCCTCCGTGAATTCTCCTAACATGCTTATCTAAACTGCTAGTTTAGCAACCAAATGAAAATGCAAGATATAAAAAATGTTTTTGAATAATTATCTAGAAAATATTGATCATATACGCAAAATAAAAAATATTTTTTTCAAAAAACAAAAAAAAGAATTACATAAATTTAAAAAAGTCGCTCTCTGTAGAACTTTTTAGATATTTTTTAATGATTTCATAATAGATTTGAAACAGAGAAGATTTTCATTCCAGTAATTTATTTGCTACAGGTTTGAAAAAGAAAATATTTAGAAGGCCATCATGTTTATTTACATTTTGTCTCTCTTTCCTCTGCATAGGATATTTTTCTATGGTGAATCACACTCACATATCCATTCATTATTCAATGACATTTTATGTTACAGAGTTATATTTTCATTTCTTTTGGAAAAAATACTAAATATTTTTCAATTTTTAACATTATTGCAATTTATTAAAAAATATGAATTTACATTATCAACATATAAAACGAACACAATACTTGAATTTAAAAATATTTGAACGGTGCTGCCATCTAGTAGCAGCAATTCCTACATGCATGGTGGGACGTATTTGGTCCCACCTTTTAATTTCAACATTCTTTATTAATATATATGAATTCAATATGTTTTTTTAGAAAAGGAAACTTTCACATAAAAATATTCATTTTAAAATATCATTTTCACTAACACCAAAAGTTGTTGTTCAGACGATTTAAATTGCATTAGAAATAAATAAAAAAACTGCTTAGAATTTTTATTTTACATTATTTTCATGAATGAATACTAATGCTGCCATCTGTTATTCATTTAGAGAACTAAAAGGCATAATTGTATGTATTTTAAATGGAATTTTGCGGCTTTCATCTGCGAGATAAAAACTCCTGCCATCAAAAGGTTAAGACACTATCACGGTAACAGAGGTAATGATAGAGCATTAGATTTCCAGATTCTCTATGCATTCAATCCATCATAAACATCATGTACATAACAATATTTGTTTTTTTTATAAGGTTTTTACACAGTGTTAATTTCATGACAATCTCATAGATTTCTTTTGAGTTTCAAAAAGAAAATTGTTGTTTTGCAACTTATCTCACTTATCTGATAGTAACATCAGAGCAAGTCCACAATTCTACCATGGCATGGACTTTAGGCACCTTATAGGTTACAGCATAATTCTACCCAATTCTGTTCAATTTGGCAAGAAGAAAAAATATTCTATACAATTTCCAGAAATTTCTTACCAACAAAAAAAAAAAAAAAAAAAAAAAAAGAAAGTACAATTGCAAAAATTTTCGGCTACTGAAAATGAAAATTTGTGAGATGTTGATTTTGCAAGGGGGAAGAACCTAAATTTAACAGACAGAAAGTACTTTGTTCAAATAAAAGTTCCACAAAAGTGCGATCATGATGCTCTGTTTGTTTACATTCCTGCACAAATCCTCCAAAAAGACAAATCAGCTACTATGAATGCAAGGATTGTAACATAGGACTGTTTGTAGATTCCTGCTTTGAAACTTGAAGCAGTGAATTTTAAGTAAAATGTTTGCTGCTAATTGTATAATGTCAGAAGTCATTAACAGAGAAGTAAATATTGAAAAATAAATAAATAAATAAATAAATAAATCTGCAAAGTAAAAATGTTGAAACAAACCAAAAAAGTATGTAACTAAAAATATATAAAACATATATTGCATATATGCTTTACAGAACATTATTAAACAGCATGCTCATCTTTCCGCAATTTTGTGCCCTTAGGCTTACTACTGATGAAAAACCTTCCAGCCCTTGAGAGAAGCTCATGAAAGAAACAGTCTCATCGGTACGTCTACCTTTCGTCCTGAAAGGGTTAAACTTTTATGGTTTTCAAAACAAGACTTCATCATTTGCCATTATAATCAAAATAAAAGTTTTTAATTATTAAATGAAATAAAAAATGAAAGTCTCATCTGAAATTTGCTAAAAATACAAATAAAATTGCTAATGTCGTTTATTATTTTATGATCTACACGAGTTTGATACTTTAAATTGTAATGAATGTATTTTCAGTAACTGTTCTCAAACTGTATGATTCTACATTCAGTTTATTGACTTTCTTAAATAAAAGGTTTTGTGCTTGATTTTCAGTTAGATATTTTTATACAAATATTCAGGATTTTTATTGAATTTTTAATTCGAAAGACTTAGTTAAAAGATTTAAATACTTTTGTGTCATACATCCTAACTTGCATGGTATACAGGAAAACATAAAAGAATTTGCTACTTAAAAAATATATGTTTCCTATAAATAAGTAAGCATTTATTATATAATTACAGTAGCTTGAAACAATTCTAATTTTTACTCTTATGCAACAGTATTTAATTAGTATTTGCAAGCCAATTTTTCTCCATATATATTGGTTGCAAGTTATTTTAGTATATATATATTATTATAAAAATTAATTTATCTGAGCATAGAGAAACATGCCTAGTGAAACATAAAATTATTAACACAACAACTTTGAGTTTGACATAGATTTAAGTCAAGATCTCAATCAATTTTGAGGGGAAACAAATAGAGGTTCCTCTCCATCAGGAGCAAAGAAATCTGCAAGACTGGAAAGCAGGGATGTAATGGTCTAATTCATACTCCACAGTAAAGCCAAATGAGAAAGTAGCACCATCTATCAGCTAAAATAGTATTAACGAAATTCAAAAATTAAGCTAATAGGAATTTAAAAGCGTTAGGAAGGATTGGAATACTATGATTAGCTATCGAAGATTTGTTACATAAGATACCTAAGATTACACACATTACTTTTTGGACATAAGATCCATGTTCCTCGATATGAAACTTCAACACTCTTTTAGTCTCGCCAATGTGTCTCAAACCACATCGTCGTGATATGCTCTAAATCCCCCAAGAATTAAAGTTAGAAATGAAATCTTTGAGCGAATGGATTTTATTGATACGCACGAAAATGACATGAAAATTAAACTTCCAATTTTATAACTGACAGAAGGATAAAATGGAACCATAAAAAGATTATTAATGTTATTTCTAATAGTGGCATGTCTATAGTTAATCTCATGTAGAAGTCAGACTGGTATAGCTATTATTACCCTGGCTGTGGTTGTAACTGTGGCTCTTGCAACTGTGGAGTCATATTCTAAGGCACAGATGCTGTAAAAGACAAAAATGGCAGCAGGAATGCATTAGAGTGTGAGATTCAAGTCCTGGCCAGTATCTACTATGTAGCAATTCATCAAGACACAATCAAGTGCCCACCAACAAATATAATGTTAAGTGGACTCAATACACACGACATAGCAGTATTATCACGATCAAGTCATCATCTGTCTATCTCATCTTGCTTTTTTTCCCCATGTTACTGATTGATATACATTGTTATTATATAAAGTCAATGAAAAGACCCATTCAATGTTATGTTATTCACTTACAACCACTGCTCTCCATTGTGCACAAATTCTATTGTAACCATCACTTCTCAACACAGGACACTACAGATCATTACAGCACAGATCACAATCTGAAAAACTATATATTATGATAAAATTAAATATTGTAAAGATCAACAATTAATAACATGTAATTTATTTTAAATTTTCAAAGTATGCATTATTAACTCGTTTGTTATGATTCAGCATTATCTGCAAATGATTAATTATAATTGTAAATTATGAAAAGTAGTAAAACTGATATACAAGTAATCCATATACATATATAAAAATATAGCCACAAACATAGTTTAGCCAAGTTTTTATTTTTTTTTCTAATAAATATCCATTACATTATTATACACATTATCAACTGTTGGTATTTTATTCAAATCAACTATAATATTATTAATGACAGTTTTTTGATGATTACTCGGAGTAACTTTAACCTTAGGTATGTAACCCACACATGCTTCTTCTATATCACAACCTTCTTTGATAAGGCATTTTTTTACTTCATGTAAAGCAGATGGACTACAGTAAAACTGAAATGAAAAAGAGTATATTAACTATACAATTCTTCCAAAAGAATTTACATCACAGTAGAAGACAAAAAAATCCACTGATCTAATATTTTAGCAGCCTTTCAGATAGCACAGCCATCAACAAAAGAATGCAGATGGCTCTGATGACTTTTAGACATTACTGATGACAGGTTTCCTCATTCAGTATTCATACAAATTATAATACTTTACTAATTATGGCTCTTAAACAAATAAACATTTTGCCAAAAATCACTAAATTGGTACCCATGACTAAACATTATTTTAGTTAAAAGCAAGATGGTACTGGCTGGAAGTTTGGTTCTGTTCAATTAATAAAGAAGCAGGTTTTTCATGAAAAATTTTGATAGAGGAACGAAGATAAACTATGATTTGGTAATTGCCAAATGATGAAATGCCTGCCATTAAATTCTTTCAGGAAAAAGAAATTATAGATATTGAAAGATATTTTCAAATAACCAGAAGATGAAGTTATGTTCTAGTGCTAATGCAGTTCTGAAACTGTATTGTAACCAATGAGATCTTGCCGATAAGAAGGGACAGCATATCTAAAATTGGCTTGTAGAGCTGTTCATTTCATAAAATTCTAAACTCATCATTTCCCTGTAAGTAATAGTCAAAAAACGAATTTAGAACAATAAACTGTAACTAGTAAGATGATAACATGGCAAGAAAAGATTGCAAAACTATTTATTAAAATTATTTAGTTCTCTAAATCCCGTAATATTTTTTCATGTATTCATTTACAACTATATTTTAAGCAGCCATTCATCTTGAATTTACCATTACTGTTCCCATTACTATTTCAAGTTACATTTTGTGCTAACATTAACTCTGTATCATTTGCAGTAGGAAGTCTCAAACAAGAACAACCCTAAAGTTTAAGGCAAACTGCTGTAAACAGATATTTGAAAGATGTAAAAAGAATTCTTATATGCTGTTTAGCTTTATATCCCTTTTTATATAAATATTTAATATATTCTCCTCTAAAATAAAGTAAAAAGGAAATTAATTGTTTTTATATGCTTTTAACAAATTTATTATTACTTACTCTAAATATAATGATGAAAAGTAGGAATTAGGACTTCATGCACAGATTATTCATTTATGGTTTGAAATCCACAAAAATGCAAAATCTATTATACATTCTCAAGTCCCAAGCTATATGAATTTTTTGTCTTCTACTGCAGTTGCAGATGTTCAATACAAAATTATGTAAGACAAATTAAAAAAATCTGATGTGTACACCACATGACTTCCTTGTACGGAATATTAATTACACGCATTTTTTCTTGCATTTCATTTAAATTTATTGGATTGAATTAAATCTACTTCGCCGACAGCGCATAAACCACAATAGAATAAATGCATCCTTTAAAATTCACTCTAGTATTTGTTTACCATAGCGACACTCTGGCGCTAGATTCACTTAACAGTATTATATTTTGGTTCATATTATAACTCATAATGCACAAAATTTATATCATTTAAAGAATAGAATTGTCTACTCGTAGCCACATGTTCTATTCAAATACTATAATAAAGCTAGAATGATGTATAAAAGAAATTAAGCGAATAAAACAAAAAAGAAACAGTTTTTCACAGACGATTGAGTATTTCTCATTCAACTAATTCAGTTCTCCCTTCGCGAGAAGGCAAAAATACATAAAAACTCAAAAATATCTATATTAAAAATTATGAAGTAAATCTTAAACACTTATTTCCTCGAAAAAATTCCAGAAAGGATTAAGCATGATTTAATTGACAATAATATATGAAGGCGTTATCTTTGTTGTTGCGAAGCTACGTTTTTCTAGATTGGCAACAAATCCACTAGTCTGCTGTTTCAAATGTAAACCAAACAATGACCGCCATCAAGAAAAGGATTAGGCTTAGCGGCACTTAAACAACTTTAAAATTGTTGATAATTCTAAAAATATTGCATACAGATTTATTAAAGGCATAAAAACCTTAACCGGAAGATAAAAACAACATAATTCAATCATTTATAAAGCGAAAAGTGTACAATTTACAAACATATAAGAGTAAAGAAACTGAGATCACAGAGCCGGTTAACAGAGTGGATATATATATATAAATATATTTTTATACGTTTGGTGCGGCCGATTGCAACCAAAATACGAGGTGAACATCTGCATGTTATAGCAGTCCTATATACAAAATTTCAACGTTCTGAGGCTATTCGTTTTTGAGTTATGCGAGATATGTGCGTACGTTCGTACAGACGCCACGGAAAATTCTCTTCAGAATTCATTTTAAAGCAGTTTTATAATTTTTTTTGAGGAAATGAGTCTTTTATTCTGTCCTTACGTACAGATATCACGCAAAAAAATTGTTAAATTGCATTCGATAGCAGTCAAAATGGATATTTTCGTTGAAATATGCTACCTGAAACTTTTCGCGATTACAATACTTCTTTTTTACTTCATACAAGGAAGTAAAAATAGCTGCAAAATGAAATTATTTCTTGTTATCCAATTTTTAAGAAATACATTTTTCAAAGTAAAATCCCAAATACTATTAAGATCATGCATAACAGCATGAAAACAGCAGGATATATAGACGTGTCAGAGATATGGGAGATAATTAAACATGTCAGAGATATGAGAGATAATTAAACATGTCAGAGATATGAGAGGCTAAAAATTAAAAACAGGCAGAATTCTCTGTTTTCGCATATAGATTTGAAAAATTTATAAACAGTAAAAGCTGCACTATCCAGACCACTCAGAAATTGCCAGATATATGAAAATTCTACATAGTTGAGTATATAAAAAAGTGCAATTCATAGCAGAAAGCCAAATAAATTTTGGTCTAAAATTACAAAAATAGTTATCATATTTGCTATCAACTTGAATATTAAAAGCTTACTTTTAAATTATGCAAGATAAAAATATCTGATGTTAAATAACATTATTTAGCGATAATTCTGATATGACAAAAATTACCAATAGGAAAGTCGAAACTAGCTGATGCAATAATACTGGTGACAGCAGATCTCACAAAAGAGGGATTCAGAGGCCTGTCACAAAGTTTAAAAAACTTTTCTTCTGTGAGAAGCATCCAGCTTGAAGGATGAATTCTTATAACAATATGATGGATACAATGGTGGAGGAGGTAGTAAACTTCTTCTGACACAGTCATGTAATTGATTCATATTTTAGATGTCAAAAATGGCGTTCCAACTAGTTCCCACAATCTACTTTTTGATGGCTTTAGAAGTCATTATTTACTTAATTTTTCATCTAAAAATATTTCCCCCCTTCCTAAAATTAAGAAAAACATTCCAATTCTTTCTGATCAATGGAATCCTGAATATTCAGGCTTTTATTGTATATATAGATTGTGTTCTCATCTCTATAAAAATGGATTAGATTAGTTTATTAAGAGAAAACTTCTGAGGGATGCTTCGATGGAAGATTTTTTTAAGAAAAATCACTGATGTAATTGCAGTTCTTTTACAGCTCCAAAGTCACTTTTCACAGTCGTCAAAGATCTATTATAAACATGCTGAATAAATCAGCGGCACAGCTTTCACATTGTCAAGAGGCCCAACAGTGGCCGAGCGTTAAAGTCGCTGAACACTGGTAGTTCGGTTCGAGGTTCGAATCCCGCGAACGGGCTGGCTGCATGGGCGTTTTCATGGTTTTCCCCATGTGTAACGTGTATACGAGCCAGTTTCCCTTATGAAGTCCTCCACGAAGGCATCCCTCTCCTTAGGCAGACAGCCCTTGAGGCTTTGCCATAATTACACACACACACACTGTCAAGAACTTTAAGAAATACATTTTTCAAAGTAAAATCCCCAATACTATTAAGATCATGCATAGCAGCATGAAAACAGCAGGATATATAGACGTGTCAGAGATATGGGAGATAATTAAACTGTCATAGAATAAAACAGAGATATGAGAGGCTAAAAATTAAAAACAGGCATAATTCTCTTTTCGCATATAGATTTGAAAAATTTTATAAACAGTAAAGCTTGTACTATCCAGACCACTCAGAAATTGCCAGATATATGAAAATTCTACATAGTTGAGTATATAAAAAAGTGCAATTCATAGCAGAAAGCCAAATAAATTTTGGTCTAAAATTACAAAAATAGTTATCATATTTGCTATCAACTTGAATATTAAAAGCTTACTTTTAATTATGCAAGATAAAATATCTGATGTTAAATAACATTATTTAGCGATAATTCTGATATGACAAAAATTACCAATAGGAAAGTCGAAACTAGCTGATGCAATAATACTGGTGACAGCAGATCTCACAAAAGAGGGATTCAGAAGCCTGTCACAAAGTTTAAAAACTTTTCTTCTGTGAGAAGCATCCAGCTTGAAGGATGAATTCTTATAACAATATGATGGATACAATGGTGGAGGAGTAGTAAACTTCTTCTGACACAGTCATGTAATTGATTCATATTTAGATGTCAAAAATGGCGTTCCAACTAGTTCCCACAATCTACTTTTTGATGGCTTTTAGAAGTCATTATTTACTTAATTTTTCATCTAAAAATATTTCCCCCCCTTCCTAAAATTAAGAAAACATTCCAATTCTTTCTGATCAATGGAATCCTGAATATTCAGGCTTTTATTGTATATATAGATTGTGTTCTCATCTCTATAAAATGGATTAGATTATTTATTAAGAGAAAACTTCTGAGGGATGCTTCGATGGAAGATTTTTTTAAGAAAAATCACTGATGTAATTGCAGTTCTTTTACAGCTCCAAAGTCACTTTTCACAGTCGTCGAAGATCTATTATAAACACGCTGAATAAATTAGCGGCACAGCTTTCACACTGTCAGGCAATAATGGTGGACACAGCTTCACTGCAAAGCACCAGAGTACAGCTCCCGACTCTGCTCGGTCGTTCTCGGACTCTTGAGATTCTCCACGCTACAACTTGCGATGCACTTGACGACACACACAGCACAGCTCGCGACTCTTCGGTTCAGTCGTCCCCGGAGCTTAACACACCCTCTCGACAATGCACTAACCGCAATACACAAAGAGACTCTTCGATGCATTCGGCACTCGCTGGCCGGCTGTCAACTCGATCATCTCCGCACGGACTAAATTAGATGAGACACACTACCTTGCACTCGACGAGGCACACACACTGACTGCGGACCAGCAGGGTTTACATAGCTTTCGGCTTATGTTCGAGAACATTCTGGGCTAAACCGGTAAGAATTCGTTCCAGAAGGTTCTCCATCCGTCCATGGCATATCGCCAATTTTGTCGCCAAATGTGGCAACCCTGCCTTCCCTTGTCATTTTATGGCAACCCTAAACCTTTTTGTGGGGGAAGCTATATCACCCCACCTGAACATTTCGCTAAACTGCCTCCTCCTAAGGACTGCACATCCCGGGCAGTACATCCCTTGGTCAAAAGCCAAATTCGATACACACAAAACATAATAAAACAAACAAATAACTAAAGAAGCAAATATTTACACTATAAACAAGTTATATACACAAATTAGACACATAACAATTTTAAATTATATACATTAAAGTTCAGAATGAATTGCAGTCTCTGTCTATTCATCAAGTTATACCCGGGTCAAAAACTTTTCCGCTGTAATTCTCAGATGTATTCCTGTTTTGCATATCACAGTCTGGAGATTCAGTTCTTTCAGGCTTTTCATCACTCTGTAGATCATTCGCAGCATGCGTATAGTTCACTTCGGTATTTTTAGCAGATGGTACATACTTATTACCTCTATCTTCTGAAAGCCAGTTCTATTGTTTGCACCAGAATCGCAAAAAGAATCCGATGCTTTACTAGCAGAAGTATTCAGGTTTAGAATCAAGTCCTTGTCTGCCCAATCTGCACTATGAGACACACATATAGTTTGCGAAGTGGGTGGATTTTCTTGTAATACTTGAGCACTCTGCATAAGCTGTACATCAGCTTTTTCCACCTCAGCCTCACATGAACTTTCAGATGGTCCAACACCTGACTGTGTTTTCATAACTTCACTACCAGTTTCTATGAACCTGACAGTCGCATTTTCTCTTTCTTGTATCTCTACTTCAGGCACGTGAGAATCAAAATCTTCCTTCCCGTCTTTTATTTCTTCATGTTTTCATTCTTTTTCTTTAATCCCATTAGATATTTCATGAATCATTTCTGGATCTTTCTCAGGCAGTTCGTTAGCTACTTCCTTCATTTCTCCACCCTTGGATTCTCCATATGCCACTACTGTTATTTTCGCATCTTCTTTTATGGCTCTACTTTCTTCCGGAAGCTCCACTTTCAGCTGTTGGAGTTGCTCTAGCATCTGTTCTCGGCCGGCTTTCTCTTATAGTCCAGCTTTCATCTCGTCATATCCAGCTTTTATAACATCATATCCGGCTTTTATCTCAGCACATCCGGCATTTATCTCAGCACATCCGGCTTTTATCTCAACATATCCGGCTTTTATCTCAGCACATCTGGCTTTCAACTCCTTCTGTCCAGCTCTGATCTCGGCTAAGAAGTCCATCAAAGTCTTTTTTCCCTCCGCCATGGCTTTCCTCTGCAGGCGGTTCACTGACATTCACTTGCAAATCTCACTTCTGACACCAGTTGTTACGTTATCTTCCGACACCAGTTGTCACGTTATTTTCTTCCTTCACGTTCGTATGGGATTCGTATGGATCTGGAGTGAATAATGATGACACTTGATGATGAAGTATCGAAACACACTTTATTTAGCCAATATTAATCAGGATAGCTCCAAAGTCACTTTTTACAGTCGTCAAAGATCTACTATAAACACACTGGAACAATCAGCGACACAGCCTTCACACTGTCAGGCAATAACGGTGGAGATAGCTTCACCGCAGAGCACCAGAGTACAACTCCCGACTCTGCTGGGTCGTTCTCGGAACTACACGTACTCTCGAGACTTTACACGCTACAACTCGCGATGCACTCGACGACACACAGAGCACAGCTCCCGACTCTTCGGTTCAGTTGTTCCTGGAGCTCAACACACTCTCTCGACGATGCACTAACTGCAATACACTAAGAGACTTTCCGACCCACTCGGCACTCGCTGGCCGGCTGTCAACTTGATCGTCTCTGCACGGACTAATTAGATGAGACACACTACCTTGCACTCGACGAGGCACACACACTGACTGCGGACCAGCAGGGTTTATATAGCTTTTGGCTTATGTTCGAGAACATTCTGGCTAAACCGGTAAGAATTCGTTCCAAAAGGTTCTCCATCCGTCCAGGGCATATCGCCAATTTTGTCGCCAAATAGGAGATTTCTCGCCAAATATGGCAACTTTGCCTTCCTTTGACATTTTATGGCAACCCTAAACCTGCTTTGCGGGGGAGCTATCTCACCACGCCTGGACATTTCGTAACAATATTAAACATTATATAGAGTAAGAATAAGAAAGCTATTTACTAATCCTGATTTTGAGAAACCATTCATGACCTTCAGAAAAGCCACAATTAATTAGATATCTAATTTCAGTTAATAGAGTTCTTCTTAAGAATCAAAGATTTGTTATAACACATTTAAGTCAAAAAAAGGATAAAAACTGTAATAAATAAATAAATAAACAAAATATGCAATCCCACCTAATAAGTTAAAATACATTAATAATATTTTTTTCCACCGAAATAAAGTTAATAATTTTATTTGTATTGTATTTATTTAATAACATAAAAAAGCAAATACAAGATAAGTTACCAATTCTTTTATCTGCTTTATAATACATATTAATCTTAGCTTAAACAGTACAAGGCAACACCATGCAGTATTAACCTTCTGATAAAAATTCTGGATGCAATTTTGTTCCAGAGTTCAAAATGGTATCAAATTGTCACTAAGTACCTTATTTTATTTTTGGTTGCCTATTATACATTTACAAATGAAAAATAAACAATGCAACAACTGGTAAAATAAAATACTTTTGAAGCAAAATTAAAAATAAATAAATAAATTCAAATAATTGCATTAAAAAGTGCGGTCTGATTAAAATTACCTTCCAACATTCAAATCCTTCTTCATCTATTTCTTTTACAGTTTCAGCATGATTTTTCAATGCAAATGCGTTTGCCTCCTCTATGTTAGAAAACGGTGATCCAGAACCAACCTTAACAGATAATATTCCTTTATGATCAAAAAAGAGAGGCCATTTCACTTCCCACTGAATCAGAGTACCACTACAAAAGGTAAAATTGAGTATTATCATTAACAAGAACAAAATAAAACTGCTCCTAGCATAAATATAAAAAATGATTTGTTACTGCATGAATGTGAAATTAAATTAATTAAATGTCAGTAACACCAAGAAAATAATATGATCCATTGGGAATAATATTTTAAAAAGATATAAATTTTCCCCATTTTGCAAAAGAAAGTTTTCTGGAGAAACCTCTCGTAATTCAGTATAATATAAGGGAAAGAAAAGAAGCAGTTACTATCAATTTTAATAGCATACAGTGGCTCCCAAAAGTGTCCGTACACTTATAATTTTCAGTGAAATAGGGCTCTATCCATTAATTAAAAGTAAACTTTCTGAATAAGATTTTAAATAAGATCAATAATCTATTTGTAACAAAATTACATGAAATATTTCTTAAATATAGCAAAACTTTTTTTTAAGAAATTAATAATAAAAAAATGACAAACATTTTATCTCACAAAAGTCTTCGTACACTTCAAAAAAATCTTGGCATATTAATAAATATTTTCATTTCTCATTAAATTAATATTAGTAGGATATCCTTTAGCATCCACAACAGCTTTTAAATGTCTGGGAATAGATTTTACTATTTTTTTTTTTTTTAAATTTCTGTATCAATGTTCATCTATTCTTCCATCATGGCTGTTCTAAGTTCGCTTTTGTTTTGATGTCATGTTTTCGTAATTTAACCTCCAGCTCTTTCCAAATGTGTTCTATGGGGTTTAAATCTGTCGACAGAGGTGGTGTTTTCAAAACCTGTGGACAATTATAGAGACACTACATGCGAACGTTTAAAGCCATATACTTCGAATCATTATAATAATTTAAAAAAAAGTTGTTTCCAATATCCAAATTTTGGGCTGATAATTTTAAATTGCCTCTTAAAATATTTAAATAAAGATAATGATTCATTATGCCATCAATAAATATCAAATTACCTAGTCCTGATGCTGCCATGCACACCCACACAAGAACACCTCCACCGCCATGCTTAACTGTTCCAACTATGTTCTTAGAATGAAGTTCTTCATTTTTTCTTCTCCATACAGTTATTCGACCATCGGATAATTTTAAAATATTAAATTTGCTTTTGTCAGCAAGTAGGACATTATTCCAGTACGTTTTGGAGGTATTTATCATTGATTTTGCGAATGAAAGTCTAAGCCTTCTGTTTTTCTCACGAACAAAATTTTTTTTTAACGGGGAGAACGCCTCATGTAATCCAGGCTTCTCTGAGAACTCGTTCGAAGCAGTTTCAGGTGAAATTGAAAACAGAAAACTTTTAATTAAATTCTGAAGAAACTTTTACAGCACTTAAACGTGGGTTTTTCACAATTTTTTTAATAATAAATCTCTCATCACCTTTAGTTAACTTTCTCGGTCAACCTTTTCTTACCTTATTTTCAATCCGATTTTTTTCTTTAAAGCGTTTTATCACATACTGCAACTGTAGAATGGGATAAATTCAACTAATTTAGCGATATTTCGAATTGATTTAGCACTACTTTGGTGAAAAATTATCAATTTTCCAATGCTGTTTGTAAAATTTCTTTACGACTGCGACACTATTTTTCAATAATAAGTATAATGTTATGAAGTAAACAATCACAAAATTAAAGCAAACGATTTTTTAAATGCCACCCACCACAATGCAAAAATTAAAAAGAGCGGCAAACGATAATTCTAATTTTGATTTTATCCAAAAATATTTCAGTGTACGAAGACTTTTGCGAGATAAAATGTTTGTCATTTTTTTATTATTAATTGTTAAAAATAAAGTTTCACTATATTTAAAAAATATTTCATGTAATTTTATTACGAATAGATTATAGATCTTATTATTAAAATCTCATTCAGAAAGTTTACTTTTAATCAATGGATAGAGCCCTATTTCAATGAAATTTATAAGTGTACAGACATTTTTGAGAGCCACTGTATATCTTTGAACATTCCTAAACCCTCAAAGACACTCATGAAATCATTCCAAACTGTTCTTAAAATCTAAAATAACATAAAAACAAATAATGATATAATAAGTATAAAATCTACATAATAAAATAGCACTGGTACAGTGTAGTTTCTACCTCCAAAATGGAAAACAGAACAAGGACACTATAAAACTTGAGGTGATGGCGATGCCAACGGAATTTTGAGCTGTACAAGAGATACAATATCTGCAGTTATTAATATCTTATCATTTGCAGTCATAAGATTGCATTTATAGTTTTGATGTCAGCCTGATCAAATATCCATAGCTAAAGCTTATGATGCTCTTTCTGTAGCAAAAGGCTTGAAATGAGATGATTAATTCAGCTGCTGAGATTGGTATTTCTTTTTTCCTACTCCACAGCAATCGAAATGTCTAGCATAAAGTGCCTTAAACTCATATGTTATATAATAGTCATATCTTTCAGTAATCATTGTACAGAAACCATACTTTCACTTTTTACTTTTCTTTATAAATACATCACTATCAACCTTGAAATCTGAACAACTGGGAGGTGCTCAAGTTGTGTGGTAACGTGATTTCAAGAGAACATCAATCTTATTTAAATTAACTTTATAACGCATGATTCAAGTTATCCAATAATTTATAATGTGATTCTAATATAAAATATTTTAATATTTTATTAGATAGTCTAAATTTTATGTTTTCTGATTAATCTTACTTCATTTTATACTTATCTTAAACTTTCCTACTCACAAAATCCCATGCAGGGAAAAAATCTTTCATTTATCAAAGTACTTTTATATATGATGAAAATAAAATCCTAATGCTAAACAATAAAATGAATTATTTAACAATTAACTCCAAATTTAAAATGCTACACAGATGAATGCAGTCCCCCCCCCAAAAAAAAATTCCACATTGTATTGGTTAATTTACAATCTTTTATTTCACTTCATTTTGAGCACATATATGTTTTGCTTTCTTCTTCCTCTAATGCTTTTTTTAGTCATTCAGGTTCGTTCTGTAGTTTGGTGAATGAAAAGATGAAGCTACATTAGTAGTAGCAAAATTACAGACTAAAAATGTAGGTACTCCTTGTATTAATGCAATCATTTTAATGTAGTTAGGTGAATTTTACAGAAGAAAGAAATTGGTGATTTTTAATTGCAAAAATTTATTTTTTATATACAAAAATATTACTACAAATTCATTTTAAACAAGTATTTATAACAAAAAGCAATCATTAAATTTACTTACTATTTGTTTCTTTGCTCTAATTTTGAGGTGATCACTTTTAAGAGATTTCAAGCAATTCCCTTTAGATTTTATGAGAAAATGCTATACTCCTATGACTATATCATGATTCATGACCATATATGACTTGGCCATTAAACCATTGGAATTAAAATAAAAAAGAAAGAGAGAGAGAGAGAGAGAGAAAAGGAATGAAAAAAAAAAAAAGGAATGTATAAAAACGGTAATATGTTTGTTGCTAAAAATTAAGATCTATCATGTGCATGGTTGTCTGAAAAATGGTTCTGTGCAAAACTTTGGCCATTTCTTCTAAGGTTATTGTGATAAAACATAACTACTAAAATAAAATCCGGGAGATTCAGTGATCTAACAGAAGATGTGATGAAAAACCGAAAGAAGTGGCAGTGTTGCAAAAGTGAAAATCCCAGAATTTTCCCCTAACAACAACAACAACCAAGAAAACTAATTTAGATCTTTCATGAAGCAATATTTCACAGAGTAGACAGTGCCTTTATTATTAAAATGAATACAGATGAACTGTATTTTGTATACTAAAAACTGAAATAAACTTTTCTTTCATTTATACACTTATATTTAAAATGCAACAGTATTAATTAATCCTACTTTTTAATAACTAATCCTACTTTATAACTAAAATTTATGTATTAAGAACAAACAATCATTTACAAATTTTTGTTTTCTGTCAGAAATGCTTAAGATTTTGCTTGTCAATAAATATTGCCCTTATTCATTCTAAGTCAAATAAAATACAATGAAAGAAATATTTTTATTTGAATCAAATTTTTAAGGAACACAAAGAATATACAAAAATACTGGGTTTAAAAATTTAATTATGATTTAGCAATAAAAACCTGGTTTTTGATGATTAATATAAATGCGAGGTAATAACTGTAAAAAATTAATGCAACATTTACTTACTCGCTTCTTTCACACATTTCTAGTAAATGATGTTTTGTTGTAGTTTGATCTATGTCTTCATATTGAATTATAAAATGACAACTACCTGGCAACTGCATTTCAAACACACCAGTTGTAGCTCGAGCATTCTACAAACAATAAGATATCAATATATATTTATGTGATTCTTTAAAAAATCACAATTCTACACTAAAAAGGGAGAGAGAGGAGAATATATCAAATATAAAGATATGCACCAATATCATAAATAATTTTTATATCAAATATTTTGCTCATTAACTGTTTTTATATTTTATAGTGCTCATGATAAAGAAAAATATAGATAAGTAATATTTTGTCACTAAAATATTTTTTTAAATTAATTCTTTACATGTAAATATTTAATATTAATGCCCCAGGTAAAATTATAAAAATCAATAAGTGTCCATTGTTACCACTTGTAACTTCAGATGAATTTAATTGCTTCCTTCTAAATCATCATATAATTTTTGAAAGGCTTTCACATTTGAAACATGCTTAATGGCTTCTAAGTTTAACAGTTTATTCATATGATTACTGATTAATAAATACTTATGTTCATATCTTCCTTTTCACAACTAATGGCAAATATTGTAATTTAATTTCATTATGTTGACAAAATTAAATGCTGGGCCAGTCGATATGGACTTAAAATAAATGAACTTCCTTATATTCAATAACACTAGGGTAACACTAACACAATTCACTGCATTTTTGAATGAATTATAAAACTCCAACCATAAACTGACATAACATGAAAATTTTTCAATTGTCAGTTTTGGCAGCTTTGTTGCAGCAGCTGCAGGAACATAACCTGAAATAACATTACTTGAAACTAAGCTATTTACACTAGTAGCTATATGTTTTTATTTATCTTCAAATGACTTTAAATAACTTATTATTTTTAGTTTATAATAAAGCAATTTTTCATTCTATTTTTTTATAAAAATGTAATTCATCCTTATGCCGTTTTTCACCACTAATTGGAGCACCTCAAGAATTTTCTTTTTCAAATAATTGCTCACAGATCCTTAAAAGAACTTCATTTTCAATTATCTCTGATTCCAGAAACTTATATATTGGGTACTTTTCCGTTTCGCCGGCGTAAATCTCGCCAAGCAGACTTTATTGGCGACAACATACAGGATACAAATAAAAAATATTAAAAAATGTTAGTTCTAAGAATTTTTTACTTTGAACGCATAAACATTTTCATATCATTTAAAATTTTGTAAAAAGCCAATAAATAAAGAAGATAAATTTGTAAAAAGACATTAATTTAAGAATTTACTATGCTTTCATGGTTCAACATCCTGATTCGCCGATTCATATCACAGGAGCCCAAGTGATCTCATCTCGCGTAAACAACGCTATAAAAATCTAATTCTCCGAGTAATTATTTATCATTAATTTCAAGTTAAATCTTAATTTGGAATACAAGTTTAAATGCAAGAATTATTTTAATTCATACAAATAGCTTACTCAGAAATTATGTAAAACTGCAGTTCTTTATTTCGCTAATGCATTCTCATTAGAATTGATGAATTTAACCTTTGACTTTGCTTTTTCTATAATTTCAGCTTTGGGTAAGCGGTATGATTGCATCCTAATTGACTTAATTACCACGAATGGCCTTAGGGCACAAAATTGAACTATCTGGTAAAAATTTTATGTAATTGTATGCCAGTATTGAAAGAGACAATCAATCTGATAAGAAATGGCTTCAACTTGTTTTGAAAATGAGGCATAAAAGGTTACGATCGAGGATATTCCGTTTGGCGTCAGCTATACCATTATTGGTGACTTTATCGCCTGCGCCGGCAAAACGGAAAAGTACCATATATTTTTGTAAAAATATGAGTTACATTAGATTAAATTACAGCTTGTTTATTCTTAACTTTTATTATGGCCTCCATGTTAAGTTGAAGGAGATCTACACACTTGAAACACAAATTCATAAATGAATTTGGTAGTACTTTTCTATCATGCACCTGCCACCCTATTTTAGTAGTATATGTGTTTAATTATTCTGCCACACTATTTTAGTAGTATATGTGCTTATTATTAACACCAGGATTATTATCCAACAGTAAAGAACTACCTTGTTGAAATCTAGTTCCTGCATGTTGCAAAAGAGCCAAGTGTTTTAATTACTTAAAAAATAAGAAAGCGAATTAATTGCCTTAACATAAATATTTTGAGTATTCCAAAATATTTTGAGAGTGGGAGGAAGGAGTTTCAACATACTTCTCCATCATGATTTACAATTAAAAATACAAACTTACAATGCTAATCTTCATGGCGAATTCTATGAAACCAGATGACACATTCAACTTCTTTGCTCTTTCTATTACAGACACTAGTTTTTCATTTTCTTCAAGGATAGGCCCACCTTCTAAAATATAGAAAAAATAAAATGTGATTTTTGAAGAATAAGAGTTGCAAATGATTTTGCACCTTCTGGCCTAATCAAAAAGGAATTTTCAAATAATAAAAAGGTAAAACACTATAGATTCTATATCAAACAAGTAAAAAAGAAATGACTTTTAGAATTTGACTTTTAGAATTCACGACATACTAAAATAACACATTAACTATACAAATTACAGAATACCTATTTATTTCATGGAATTATTTAACTGAAATAAAAGCCTTTAAACTTTTAATTCGAAAATTTATCAACAGTCTCTAACATGCACATAATTTTGCTGCTGCATCAGTTGCACTCCTGAAACTGAAAAAATTATAATAAATTCTGATTTCTCTTTATAATGATGGATAACAATATGTGAGAACAATATATAAACAAAGTATTAATTTTAAATCTATGATACAGTCATTAACATTAAATGAAAGTAGAGAAAAAAATCACCAGCATCATCATGAAGTATCCAACAGCCAAATGATGCACTTTAAACAGAGCAAAATTCACAGTACATTCATTATAGGAAATTTTGACATTAAATGCGCTTATATATTATTTGAAAGTGTACCTCTTACTAAGTAGCAGATAAAGAAGGATACAGAATTTAACAAATCTAAATTCAACTGAGAATATTATTCAATTTTACAGCATATATTGCAAATTACATATTTTTAAATTTATTGGCCGAAACAGATATACTTAAATGGTCATCATAAATTAATTACTGCACTAGCCCAAATATATGACTATACTGTTTGCCTTAAAAAATGACTTTCTGAAAACAACCTTCTTCTTACATGCATTACTAATATTTAAAATATGCATAAAAATCAATCATATTTAGGCTATCCTTTAGTATAGCCCACCCAGATTTTTCACCAAAAAATATCGCCAAGCATAGTGTTAAATGACAGGATGTGGTAATCCATACAATTCCACAAAAGTAATGTAACCAAATGTAAATTTCTCGATTTACAGTTACATCTAATAGTGGTCAATAACATTTTTCAATACCAATACAAATTATCAAGATATTCATTTACTTAAAGTTAAATATTCTTATTTTTCCGGCAAAGCTTTCTCTTAATATTTGTCTTGCTTTGCATTGCACGAGGATATACAACAATTTTAATTATAATTCTACTAAAATTAAGAATCTAAATATAAAATTTGTAGTACTGTTATAGGCGATTATTTAACACTCAGACATCGTGGAGAATATTGTTAGGGAGATAAAATTTTTGGCTACTTTTGAGGTGAGATTTTTGCATTTAGTTACAACTTCCTGTAAACCTGCTGTTAGTGATGTCATAATTAAGTATCAGGAGATCTTAAAGGAAAATTTAAGGTGGGAATTTTCAAACAAGTGTAAAAGTTTGGGAAAACTGGGTATTCCCAGTATTTTATGTATTACTTAACAACAGGGTATGAACATTTTAGAGGGTTTTTGATGGAATGTGGATTATTGAAGGATAGAGTTTGTTGTGAAAAATGTAAGATATCATATGGGTTAGTTAGTCAGAAAAAGTCATCCAATGGTAGTATTTGGAGATGCAAAAAGTGTGGAGATGAGAAATCAATTAGGCTAAGATCTTGGTTTGCCTGTAGTAAGATTAATTTACAGTTAATTAATTCTTAATTACATAATTATTTGTCAAGGGCGAAATATCTAAAGGTTTTTAAGAATTAAATCCTTTTTAACATTAATCATTTTCATTAATCATTCCTTAAATTTTTTTTTTTAAATCATATATAATACTCGTAAATTTATTTCTATTATCCATGATTTCTGGTTAAACAAGATAGTTGCCATTTTTGAAACACACAGTTTCTTCGGAAATCTTGATGGTAAATATTTTTCAAAAAACGGTATTTGATGCACTTTGGCGCCAAAAACATTTGCCAGAATTTGAAGGTGGGCTATACTGACGCTGTTCCCATATTTATCTCTTAATTTAAAAAAATACATGCTTACTTAGTTTTATTTGAAGGAATGGTAATTAGACTACTTAACTATGTATTTTCCCCGAGACACCTGCCTAGAAAAAGCCTGTGTGTGACAAACACACTGGTGTTTATGTAATGGTTGGTTTGGTTTATTAGATTTACGGCAAAGCACTCGAGGGCTATCTGCCTTAAGGGAGGTTTATGTAATGGTAAAGTTCACTTAATTATCTGGAAGAATGCCTTCAAAATACAAAATTCCTACATATCAGGCCAACTCATATGGAAGCTTTCTCTTTCTGTAATTTTCAAACAAGTGCCATATAAATACCTGTCACTCAAATTTATCTTATATTTTAGGAAATATACTAAGAAAATAAATGGAAAAAAATGCTTGCTCTTCAATTCAAAAATCCTAAATCCTGCTTAATATTAATTTTTCACTTCATACTGAGGAGTATAAGTGGTAATTATAAATTACTGCAGTAATCTTGGGGCAGTCTGGTAATGTTTTACAAAAGTAAAGACATAATTCATATTTGTAAAACACTAGATATTTTCTGATTATCCATACCCCCACGAAAAAGCTGCAAAAAGTATTGACCAGGCAAAGCAGTATGCTGCCAGAACACTCATGACAAACAACAATGTCAGCAAAAGGTATTTATATGGCAATCCAGGCATGCACAGAGCATGTTTGTTTTAGATAGTGCACAGTGTTGAAGTTACAGATGGTTTTCCCCACGTTTTCCCTCTAAGTGAAAATGGATTGCTGCATACAAATGGAAAACAACAGAGTAAAAAAGGATTTTTTGAAAAAGCTCTTTTATTACCAATATTTTTGCTTTTTAAATTTTAGTAATTAATTGCTCTTTTAAGGAAATTTTTAGTGTGCTGGGATTTTGAAAATGGTTGCTGCCTTTTGCGCATAATCTTGGTTAAACATTAGTAGCCAAATTAGTAGCTTAGTTAAACATTAGTAGCTTGGTTCACAAATGCTCTCTGAAATCACCAATGACTTTGTGACTTTTCAGCGGTAGAGTAAATAATCAAAAAGTATTACAGATTATTTATTATCTACAAACACATTTTATGTTTAATTATGGATTTATCCTAAAAATCAATCACTCAAACTATCTGCAAAAGGATTTTGTTTCTGCTCATCTGGTGCAAATTTTGTGATTATCTCTTTAAGAAAGGTTTCAAAGCAATCTTTCCCTTTAGAAATTACAGTCAAAAGTCGTTAATCCGGACTCGTCGGGACTTCGGCGATTCCGGATTATAGATCATCAGTTTAAATCTCGTAAGATGGCATGCAGAAATTCTAAAATAAAAAATATGAAACCGTAATTTATGAAATAAAGAACAATTATGATCTAAAGGGTATCAAAATTTGCAAAAAGAAAAAGCTTAATATTTATTTGTTTACTTTATTACTTTCAATGTAAGTTGTTTAAGTTGCTTCGTTTTTTATGTGATACAGTCAAAAGTCGTTAATCCGGACTCGTCGGGACTTCGGCGATTCCGGATTATAGATCATCAGTTTAAATCTCGTAAGATGGCATGCAGAAATTCTAAAATAAAAAATATGAAACCGTAATTTATGAAATAAAGAACAATTATGATCTAAAGGGTATCAAAATTTGCAAAAAGAAAAAGCTTAATATTTATTTGTTTACTTTATTAAAAAATTTCTTTCAATGTAAGTTGTTTAAGTTTTGCTTCGTTTCATGTGATAATACTTTCTCTTTAATTCTATTAAACAGACATAATTTCTTGTTCAGTTACAAAGTTCCACCGTTCAAGTCCTATAATTGCTGTGTCAGAGAACACCGACTAATTTGTCAATCGAAATTTTTTTTGTTTTCAATAACCTCTGTCACTTTTCTTCGCTATCGGAAGCGAATTATACTGACGAGGAACTTGATTTAAATCATATCAAAGACGGAGCATATCGAGATGAAATACTACATTTGGTAAGGAATTATAAGCCAAATAAAATAAAAACATCTGCGCTGAAGATAAGGATAGTGCTGACAAATGAACTTCCAATTCATTAGGCGCCCGCCGCCGAGCAGCGTGAAATTGATAAACAGATTTTGGATTTCAAAACATACTTTCGCTTTAGATCCTTTACATATTAACAAATATATATCGGAAATTCTATTTGATATAATCGAAAGTTTAAGCTTACTTTTATAAAATTGCTCTTACAGTCTGCAAAAAATAATAAGCCGGATGCAATTCGAAAATTAAGGAACAACGCAATCATCAACATTAACTGAAATAGATAATTAGATAATTTTAGCTTATACGTCCATTATAGATAAAATGCGCACGCGAAAACGTATTCTGCACATGCGCACACTCATATGCGCAGTCGTAAAAGGTCTTACGCACACACGTGAACGCCTCTGCGCATGTGTCAACGTGGTGCATGCGCAGAAAGTTTTTAGTTTTGATGTCCGGATTATAGATCATTCCGAATTAACGACTTTTGACTGTATAAGGCAAAATACTGGACTTTTACAGAAATTTTGCCACTACAGGCAAAATCCATACACTCATATTTTAAAACTATGTTAAAAACAAAAATTTTCATAATTGTCTAAAAAAAAACATTGAAATTTGGAATACTACAAAAATGACAATGCTCTTGTTAAAGGCAAAAGAATTGCTATATGATGCTTCCAAGAGTTGGCACATCCTAAAAATTTGGCAACTTCTACTAAGAGAGCTATGTTAATATGTAAATACAATAAGACCCTGCTGAATGCTGTTTCATTATTATGCAGTAGCATTGGGATTTCCTAAAATACCCCTCATTATCAGTATTGTCATGTTAGCTTGTTACAGTGTGGCACTTTTTGCCTAACCAGTGCAAGCCTTCGTTTTGTACTGCATATGACAATCAATCTTGCTGTTGGTCTCGAGGCGAGCACGGCAAGATGGTAACCACCATATTATTACAGTATGAATAAATGAATATTTGCTGTGTCACAGTTGATTTATGATCAGTTACCAAC